TAATAATAAAATTTTAATTTTAATTTTTGTATTAAACTATTAATAAAAGTATTATAAGTTTGTTATTTGATTTTGTTTATCATTTATTAAAAACTAAAGTTAAAATTAAAACAATATATATTTGGATAAATCATTAGTTAATTTAAAAAACATTAATGCATTACATTGATTATAATTTATTAGTTTTTGACAATAAATAATAATTTTTAATTTATATAAATTTACTTTAGTTATTTCTTATAATTATAATATATAAAGTTTTGATTAGAAAAAGTATTTTTTTATAGTTTTGTCTTTTTTTATTTTAGACCAAAAATATATTTAAAAATAATATTTTCTTAAAACACGTAACTTTTATCACTTAAAAGTAATTTATTATTATTACTATTATAAACATAAATTTGTCACTATAATAATAATAATAATAATAATAATAATAATAGTTTTTTAAAAATATTTATATACTAAGAAAAACAACTGAAGTTTTTACGAAAATAACATTTTTTTATTATTATTTTTTTATTTTGCTAAATAGATTTACTATGAAAACAATTTATCATCTAAGTCTTTTTTCAAATGTAAACAAAAATTCAATTATTGAATAAAATTACTAAACAAAATATAATTTATATACTAGTAATATATCAATAATACCAGTATATATATATATTATATTTATATATTACTGGATATATTATTATTAGTATTTTTTATTCAGGATAGATATCAGTCAAAATATTTTTCAGTCTCTATAGAAATTTTAAAATCTCAGTTATTTAATAGATTTATTTATTCAAAAAAAAAAATTCCCATAAATACTGGGATTTTAAATTGTTATAGATTCACTATATTATCAATATATAGTGTATATAATGTAAATTTTATATACATATCAATATATTGATATATATATAGTACTGTATATACAGTATAATACAGTTTTATAAGCAACAAAACTTATACTATTTTTTACAATAATCAATCAAATAACTGGATAACTATTCACTGTGTCTACTGTGTATGTTACTGTATATATAGGTATATATATATATATATATATACTGTATATATATGGGTATATTTGCGTATATGTGCGTATATGCGTATATCTGTGTGCACTTTATAATAATATATGTCATAAAAAATAAAATTTTAATATCATAAATTTATTAAAAATAAATATTTATTTTCATAATATCATGATGTATTGCTAGTGAATTATATTTTAAAAAATAACTGATACTAATGATTTTTATATATTTTTAACAATATTATTTTTTTAATGTTTTTTATGATATCAAAACTATTGATAAATGTTTACGATATTTGATTTGATTTACTGAATTAAATAAATTATATAACGATAAAAAATATATTGTTTTAAAATTTTATGTATACTTATTCAGTAAATCATATATGATATTAGTTTAAAACTATTTTATATTAATATAATAGTAGTCTATAAAATTAATAACTCTAAAAGGTTTGTATTATTTTTTATATGAAAAATGATAAAAATTTATGAAAACATAACAATTTTTTAAATTGTAAAAATAAAAAAAATAAAAAATAACGAATAATAGGTTTGCATTCTATTGGATAAAAAAAGTTTAAAATATCATAATTACATAAGATTTACAATAAAAAAAATAGTAACTGAATATAAAAGTATTTAATGAAAATATAAAAAATAACACAAAATATAAAATATCAATAATTAATAAAAAAAATTATATGATATTTAATATATGATATTATAAAAAAATATTATTTTTCTTAAAATAAATTGCAGACAATTATTTTTAACATCAAAAATTTTTAGCTTATTTAAAGTTAAAATAATAGTAATAAAAAATAGTTGGAAAAACTATAATAATTTTAGTCTAAATCGACATCATTATAATAATTTTTTTATCTTCAACTTAGAAATTATTATTATTATTATTATTTAAAAGTAACTTATTTTGACAATTGAGATATAAAAAAAATTATTGTTAAATAAAGACAACGACAACAACAAGTAACCAATGATGTTGTTGTCGACGATAGCATAAAATTAATGGACAATTGGAGTGACATGTGATCTGAATTTCACAGTTTGTTATCTCAATAGTAATCAATATATAAATAAAAATATATATATATATTGTCTTTTCAATTGATAAGCCCTGCTGTCTGTCTGTCTATGCTGTCAATTGAGTATTCAGTCTATGAAAAAACTCGGGAAAAACTCTAGTTTCCACTCGAAATGATAACAAATTTTTTCTATTGTTTTACAAATTCAATTCAATCGATTTAAATATATATATATAAATAAATAAATATATATATATATATATCAATATATATACACTGATGGACAAAACAATCTGTGATAGGTTTGAGATTGAATATCTTGAAAAACTACATGGTCAATTTTGATACGTATGGTATGTACTCTAGAGTTTATTTAAAATTATGATTTTACAATTTTAAAAATTTAATCACAAAATTACAAAATGTATGAAAGCAACCCTTAATGACATTAATGTAGAATATAAAACTTTTTTCACTTATTTTATTATAACTTTTAAATGATTGATTTTAAAAAGATAATTTCAATAATAATATAAAAAAAATTGATTATATAACCTACATTTAACAAAAAACTATATCAAAATTGATCCAGTAGTTTTAAAGATATTAGGTCTCAAACCTTTCAATGAATTGTTTTGTCCAATACTGTATATATATATAACAATAACATGTTTTACTCATTTAAGGAGTTATATATCTAATTTTATTTACTAAAAAAAAATAAAATAAAATCGTTGTATTTGTTTCAATATACTGGTACAATATATATATATATACTGTATATATACAGTATATATAGTATAAATATATATATATAACTATATAATATATAAATTATATATATATACAGTACAATATATTTTAAATAATCCATTATTCAAATTCCAATTTTAAATGATATCCTATTTTAAATTCAATAATAAATCCATACTTAATGTGAATCCAATGATGCAAAATATAATAGAAATTTCAAAAAGCAATTGATGTAATAATAGTAATAAAAATAATAAGATTTTTAAAAAATAAATAAATAAAATTCATATTCATAAATATTAATACTGTACTAATAATTATTATAATATTTATAAACATAATAATCAATACAAAGCTCGATATAAATAAATATAAAAAAAAGTATTAGACTAAAAAAAATCAATCATTGATTTGTGAATTTAGTTTAATATGATATGAGATAAAATTGACATTCAGTTCATAGAGTTAGTGAATTGAATTTATTTCAGATAAAATAAAATATAAAATCAGTTAAATCTTTTATCTAAAATTACATTGCTTTATAAACATTTACTGTAATAATATTATTAAATATATCTAAAATTAAATAAATAGAAAATATCATATTACTTTTTTTGTTATAAAAAATATATTAAATTTTATATTAAATTAAAACTTGTATAAACACTACTATAAACAATACTAAATATTGTATAAATTCACTATATATTTACAGTATATACTATATTTATAATATAGTATATACTGTAAATATATAGTGAATTTATACAATATAATAATTTTTATTATATACTGTAATATTAAATTAAATTTTTAAAATATTTTATTTAAAAAATAACAATATTTTGATAGTTAGCAAACATATTGTATGGCAAATACTGTATATCAAAATATGTTAACACTTGAATATATAAATATCATATATACAGTACTTTATGTTATTTATTATATATAAACTTATATATTAATCTTATATAATATATAAAATAGACTCATGAATTGATTAAACTTGAAATAATTAGTTTAGTAATATTTATTATAATTATTATTCAACAAATAATATTAGTAAAAAAATAATGAAATGAATGTTATTTAATATCTATTGTATTATTATATAATATATCGTACTTATTATATCAAAGAAAAACTAATATAAAATATACATTTATATTACGTAAGAAAAATAATTGAATATATAGTAAATATACAAAAGATATACAATAATAATGTATTATTACTATAATTGCTAAACAATTATAAGATTCTAATAATAATAATACTAATAACAATTAGATAGCCTTTTAAATATCTAATAATTACTTGAAAACAATAATACATTAGTATATGTCAAGTGATACACAGTTATTATTTTTTTTATATAAAAACTAATTATTTTTAATGTACTTTATTATTAAAAGAAACTAAAAACATACAGAAAAATATAGTAAACTAATGTTTTCTATTTATAAAACAAATTTAAAAAAATTTAATATAAATTAAACTTTATGTTTATATCCCTTTACAATAACATTTTGGTGCAATAATAAAAATAATAATTTAATACTAACAGTTAAAAAGGATATTATTATTATTATTATTATTAAGAAAGAGATTTTCTTGTATAACATATAAAGATATTGTATATAAAAATCATAAAATCTAATCTATTTTAATAGCATTTTACGTTTACATTATAATTCCTAAATGAGTAATCAGTAAACATTTTTTAAAACAAAAACATAAACTCGTATATAATACTGTATATAACAAAATATTATACACTATACTAGCAAATAATATCTGTGTATATTGGAAATAGTATGATTTATATTATAGAAAAACAAATCCTTATATATTATATATATAACTGAATTATTAATTGAAATAAAAATATAAATTTTGAATGAATCTAATTATATATATGTATGTATAAATCCAATGTTATAGATAAAAAACGGTAATGATAATATAATAAATATTTATAAAATAATGTCTATCATGTAATTTAAATCATATGATGATGATATAAATACAGTAAAATTTAAGGAATTAGAAAAAATATTAATAATAAAAAGTATTAATAAAAAAACAAACAAAAACTCATCCAAAAAACTTGTATTATTTCTCTTTCTTTCTCTCTCTCTCTCTCTCTCTCTCACACACACACATACCTGTACTCTGGAGGCATCGTTAGCCGACGTCTTTTTGAAGTCAGACGAACCGCCGGTGTGGTCGCCATTGCGAGACTTGTTGGACGACTTCTGTGAGATCTCGTTGTGAAACAGTATGCGAGCAATCAGTGCATACAAGACACAGGAGAGCACAAGTGGCAGCACATAGAAGAGCATCATATCTGCAAAGTAGTAGCCTTTGTAAAACTTGCGGGACATGGAGTGGACACACGTTTCAAGATCCGAGTGGCCCTTATAGTAGATGGAAACAGTTTTGGTTAGGAATAGCCAGGGGCTACAGTAGATAAAGGCAAATGTCCAAACGCCGGCAATAATACGTTTGGCCCGATGAACGGTACAGATCTTCTGGGCCCTCATCGGATGACAGATGGCTATATACCTTTCGATGGTAAACGCCGTTATCGATAGGGACGAGGCATTGATGCCAAAGTATTGGAAGAACACTAGTAGAGCGCATCCGAGTCGACCCCAAATCCATTTGTCGCCCAACAGATAATAGGCCACAATTTCGGCCGGAACTGAGGCCAACAAAACAATCAGATCGGCTATCGATAGACTAACCAAATAGCAATTGGTCGGTGTTTTCATACCGCGTGTCTTGAATACAACGATCACTACCATTATGTTTCCCAAAACGCCTGCAAATTAAGTGAATAAAAAAACTTAATTTGTATTTAATTTTTGTTTATTTGTTTGTTGTTGTTGTAAAAATTATAAATATTATTTAATAAATTAGTAGCTAATTAAATATTTATATTATTTTTACAAATTTAGTATTATAGCCAATAGGCAAATAAATTTTTGTGATATATTTTGACTGCTAATGTAATGTAAATATTTTTATATTCAATTTATTTTTTTTAATATATTGCTAGACAACATATTATTATTAATTAGTAGTTGAAATAGTTGTCTAATTTTTAAATAATTTTTATTATAGATACTTAAATAAATATTTATAATAAGGATTAAGTCAATTAACTATTATTTATTTTATAATGTACATTAATATCATATTATTTTTTTTTAAATTTCAATTTTCATATATAATATAATACTGTATTAATAATTAGCTTCAAGCACCTTAAATTATTTAAAATATTTGAACAAATAAATTAGATTAAAGCAATTATAATATTTTATTTGAAATTCAAAATATTTACATATATTATATTTATTCCAGACATCAATCATATAGATATATAAGAAGGCGGTCAATCGATCTTGAGCGGCGTATTTTTTGAATAACTTTTGAACGGTAAGAGATAATTTAATTCTGTAAAATACATTTAAGAATATCATATCGACCTGGCTTAATATACACGAAATCACAAAACTAAGATGACCAGATATACAAAATATCGGGACCAACGAAAGACACCATGCTACAGGTCAAACTAAAATTGATAAATTTATTATGATTATGAAAATTTGTAGTCAAGAAATAATAGTTTAATATAAAAAAAGAATCATCAAAATCGGATTGGTAGTTTTGTTTTTATGGCTTATTAAGTTTGTCATAAATCATATTATATAAAATAGTCTAAAATAAAAATGACGTCATTTATGAATATTATATATTTATTAGATGATATTTTAAAATATATTACTAATTCTAAAAACGAAATTTTAATAACTCGACTCGTTTTCGAAATAATCGAATTTCAATATAAATTATAATATCAAATTACAATAATGTGATTTATATTGAAATTCGAATATTTCGAAAACTAGTCGACATATTAAAATTTCGTTTTTAGAATTAGTAATATATTTTAAAATATCATCTAATAAACATATAATATTCATAAATTACGTCATTTTTATTTTACACTATTTTATATAATAGGATTTATGACAAACTTAATAAGTCATAAAAACAAAACTAGCAATTCGATTTTGATGATTCTTTTTTTATATTAAACTATTATTTATTGACTATAAATTTTGCCTGTCATAATAAATTTGTGAGTTGTAGTTTGACCTGTAGCATAGTGTCTTTCGTTGGTCCCGATATTTTGTATATCTGGTCATCCTAGTTTTGTGATTTCATGTATATTAAGCCAGGTCGATATGATATTCTTAAATGTATTTTACAGAATTAAATTATCTCTTACCGTTCAAAAGTTATTCAAAAAATACGCCGCTCAAGATCGATTGACCGCCTTCTTATATAAATAATATTTATAAACATAAATTTTTTAGTCTACAAATTTTTTAACATTAGAAATTTAATATATTTACAAATAAAATTCTAAAAAATAGTAAATACTTTCTCAGTTCAAATTTCATACAAAAAATTTATTTAAAAAAATTTTTTACAAAAAAATAATAACATACCGACTGTTAGTATAATTCCCTGAAATATTGTGCCAATTATCTGATAGGGCAGCGAATAATATGACGGATCCTGATATACGATACCACTACTACTACCCGACTGGTCGTATAGGTTGCCATTTGTTAAATTTTTGAGACCACCACACGATATATTATTATTATTGTTAAAAACAGTATAGTTGTTATCAAATGGGAATGAAAAGTCACAATTATTATTGTTTGTATTGTTAGTCATATAGTAGGTGTCCGTCACTTCCATGGTGTCGGTGCCCAATGTTTTCTTGTATATTGAATCACACAAATAATTTATTTTGTTGTTTGAATAACACTTTAGATATATTTACATATATATATAATAAATTTCGATATATCTATATCTATATATAACTCTATCAAACAATAATAATTTATCAAATATTTTTGCGAAATATTTAGCGATTATTATATAAGTTCACAAATATATAAATATATTGATCTCTTATATCCTGTATATGACACATGATTTTTTGTTTGTTTGGTACAAATATTACACGAAAATATTTATATTGAAATATATTTTTGTCGCACAAAGATAAATGATTTGATACAAGCAATATATTTTATAAGTTAAGTTTTTTTTTATTTTTAACAAACTTTTTTTTTATATATATACTGTATATATAAATTTATATATTATGTGTTTGTGTGTATGTGAGTGTGTGTGTGTAATGGATTTTATGAAAAAGCTTTAATAATAATAAAAATCTTAAAATGTACTAAAAATAAGTATTTATTTTTAGTGAAAGTCTGATTTTTATTATTATTTTTTTCAGTCAATAATCCAAAACAATTTTCTCTCACTCACTAATATTATATAATTTTTATATAATTTTTATATGACATTCAAGTTTGTCAAAAAATTATTTTTTTATTAGTCGTATTGTAAATTCTTTTTTTTTTATTTATTTATTTACAATATAAAGTATATACTGTTTATGTATTTTTGAGTTTAGTTTAAATTATAGTCATTTTCAAACATTTAACAACACTTAAACACAATATTATAAAATTATTAAATCATTTGCGACAACAAAATATATATTTTTTTGTAGATGTAATTTAAAATAACATTGCTATTAATAATAAAAATTTCAAGTGCGATGAAACTTTTTCAATATTATCATAAAATATATATTTGTAAATTCAATAACTTTTTTTTTGAAAATAATTACATGAATTTATGTTAAATTGTTTTGAATTGAGTGACACAACACTTGATATTATATTTTTTAGATGAAATTCTGGAATAAAAAATAAAATAAAAAATATTAATTATTTTTTAATTAAAAACTATTTTTAGTAATACTAAATACAAAAATATATTATTTTATAATTAAAACTAAAATATTATATTATAGGATCAAAATTATAAATAGAAACTATACTAAATATTAACTATAATAGACGTTAAAAATTATTTTAACTATAAATTTAGAGTATAAAAATAGGTTTATGCATTCAAAATTATCTAATAAACATTATTGTTAAAATGTTAACTTTATGAATACATAAAAATTTATTTAAATAATTACCTAACTAGTTGAATTTAATTTACTGGTAAAAATAAAATTATTATAATCAATTTTTTACACATAATAAAACAGTAAATGTAATTTTAATTCTAATAATGTAACTGTAATTAAATAATAATTGAAACTAATTGTAGCTAAAAATTTATGAGTTTTTATTAATCTAAATGATAGAGTGGTCTATAATTTATATCATGAATTCAAATATATATTATTATATATTATGTTAAAAAGTTAATTGAATTCAATGAATTAACTCTCATTTTTAGTATAAATATAATATGAAAAACACATAATTAAACATTTTCTATAAATTGTTACATAAATAGCATGTGTTTCCAATGAAATGACTTTTTTAGCTAAATTATGACTATATATATATATATATATATATATATATGACAACCAATTTATTATCCAAACAAATATAAAATTATGATTATTGTAAAAAATTGTAACCATTTTTATACTGCTTATTATATATTTAAATGTATTATAAAATAAACATAATTGCAAACAATTAAAAAAATTGCTTTCTCATTGTTGCAATTACAGTATAATAATAATATAATATAATGTAATGAAAAATTATAATTAATTTATACAATATAATTTATTTATGTCTAGAAATAGTTATTATGAGTAAAAATTAATAATTAATTATTTAATTTGATTATCCACTGTTGAAATTATATAAATTGATTTAAATTTTTTATTTTTAAATAAATTTAAATATTTTCTAACTTACAATACAATTTGTTAAACAAATTGTTAGAAAATTGTTTAAATAATATAAAATAGAAATTTAATTTTTAAAAGACAAAAATAAATATAAGTTAAATTATAAATAAAAAATAAATTTTTCAAGATTTTTTATTAGTTAATATAATAAGTAATAGTAATATATTTTTGATACTAAAGTTTATTTAGCCAACAAAAATGTTGTACAAAAAAATTGTGGCCAAAACTTTAGACACACAGCTGTTGTGCCGATAAAACTGATTTAAGGCTTGTTTTTCTGGAAATAAAGAAATAACACTTTTTTGTGTTTTGTTTTATGTGTTGTTGTTATTATTATTTGTCACGAGTTATCTAATAGTTTGATGCTATTTGTTTGGTTATGTTTTTTATTATTATTATTATTATTTGGCGAAAAAAATGAGTTGAATTCAATTGAAAGAAATTATCAAAAGTTATTTTTTTATTTGTATTTAGCTTTTTAATGGCTTATAACAAGTTTTTTTCTCTCTCTCTTTCTATTTATTTATTTCTCTCTATTTTATATTTTTATAAACACTTTGAACACTCGGACAATATAATACACAATATTATTATTTTTCTATAAAAATACTTAAATTGTGTAGAAAAATCTATAATAAATATAAAAATTACTCTCTCGGGTAACAAATAACTACTGTATATACCAGACAATCATTTATATATAGTATAGTATATGATAGACTAATATATATAGTTTTATAACTTAATGTCATCAGTTAAAAAGTTTGTTAAAAAATATGATAAATTTTGTATATTAGTTTTATTAGAAAATATATAAAATAATAATAATAATAATAATAATAATATATGATATAAAATGTAAAATATGTTAATATAAATATTATGCAAAAATTTGTGTTTTAGTGAGATTAATATAATGCTAAAATTTAAATTGTTTTTACTTTTTATTTAATATAATAATTTCAAAATTTTTAAACAAAACAGTTTAATAGCTTATTACACAACTGTATAGTTTGATATTATACAATATATATATTATAAAATATAATATCAATTTTTATTATATAAAAAAATCAAAAAACTATTTGATAGTTTTGCTTATGTTATAGTTTATTAAATAAAATGTTAATACAGTACTTATAATACTTATTGTATAAATTTTTATAGATATTAATAAAATAATAATAGAATGTAATTGAAATAATCAAATCTAATTTATTAACTGTAAAAAACCATATTTTACACCAAAATAATTTTTAAAAAACTAATTATTTCATTACACATATTGTTAAACTTTTTACTATATATATAACTACATAAACAACAACAATTATTATATAATCCAAAACAACAACAAAAAATATAACACAAATTACCTGAGATTTTCTATTATATAAATTGTGTTTTGAATAATTCAATTGATATACAATGTATGGATGATATATACAGTATATATAATGTCACTGTTTTCTCAATAAACTAATCCCACACTATATATATATATATATATATATATATATATATATATATATAATATTCTTCAGTTAATAGTTTATATATATTATAGTAAAGTATTAACAATAAACGCGTGAATGAATTGCCAATTGAATTAAGAAAATGTGAGATAAGAGACATAGACTTTCCTATTGTAATGTTTGTGCCATTATTTGATAGTTATGCTAATTTTAATGCATTAGTTTTTAACATTTTAACACATAAATAGTAAAATAAGTAGTTTTTATTTATAAATCAAATTGAATTTTGATGAAAAAATTATTTTAAAAAGTTTTTTTGTCGCTGTTGTTGAATAAAATGAATAGATGACGACTACTTTAAAAAAATAGATAATGAAAAATTGGTGAAAGTTTTAAACATAATTTAATGTAAAGTTTATTATGTTATTTGAAAAAAATAAGTTTTTTAAAATTAAAATTTCAGATAACATTTTAAAAAATGAAATTATTGACAATACCTTACAAGTAATGTCATAAATCAGCAACAAAACTACTAATATTATTTTATTAGTTTTTGGTATTGTTATTATATATATTTTATAATATATTACTAAATAACTATTAAATTATTATTATAAAATTGTTTGTTTATTAAATAGTTTATAGACTATAGTATTAATAAATAGACTATTTTGAATACTAAAATCAATTGGCTTTACATTTGATAAATAATCAAAATATTGTTAACAATAAATAAGATTTTATGTTGAATTGAAAAATATAATACAGTATACCTATCATAATATATATATAAAGTATTTATAACATAAATTTTATGTCAATAATAAATATAATAAAATGATTTAAAGACAATATGCTTTAAGGTATGAACAAATACTAAAATAAAAATTTATATATTATATAAACTATTGTATAATACAGTTAATAGTTATACTATTGCTTAATAGTTATTATACTGCATAACTACTGTATTATATAAATTAAATAAGTTAATAAAATACTGTATTAAAAAAAGTTATTTAAATAAATTTATAACTTATACCAATAGTCTTACAGAAAAAACAGTTAATTATAAATAATAAGTTGTATTACAGAATTAGATTTAAAATAAAGGATTATTTTTATTTTAAATGAGATTAATTTAAACACATATATAGTTATATAAACACACTGTTTGTACTGTATATGTATAAGTGTATAAAAGTCGATCAGTTGAGCATTTAATTAGCAAATAAATTATTGATTTTCTCTCTCCTATTAACACACTTGAGACTAAATGTGTGAACTATTATGTAAACTAATATTATATTATATATATATATATATATATATATTATACAATACTAC